TCAATTTTCTTCTTTCCTTGAGGCAATCCGACATGTGACCAAGTGTTGTTGTCTTCGATGGACTTCACTTCTTCATTCATTACTTTCACCCACTTTGAATCTTTCAATCCTTCAGTTGCATTGACAGATTTGACATCTGGATAGAAAGCATAATGTACCAGATCACCTTCATTATCAACCACATCATCTGATGTAATAACACAATCTTATAACCTTGCAGACATGTGTCTTGTTCTCCAAGGCCTGCTGTGTCCTGGTTGATCTATAGCTTCCTCTTGTCATACTTATCTTTTGACTTGAGTTTCTGGTTCTTAGAATAAGATTCTTACTAAATCTTTCTTGACATTTTTAGTCTAATCCCATTCTTTAAGCTCATCTATGATCACGCCCATACTGGTCATAATTTGCTTATTCATTGGGTCGATAAACTTGTAACTCCCATCGAATGATATCCAACTAGGATCAGTTGACTCGACTTGTCAATAAGTTTTCTTCTCAACTGATCTGGAACATGTCTATGTGTTATAGATCCAAACACTTTCAGATGACTTAAACTAGGCTTCACACCAAACAAACATTCTTCTAGAGTAATTCCTTCTAGCTTCTTCATCAGACATCTTTTCAAAATATATGTTGCAGTTGACAGAGCTTCACCCCAAAACTCTTTAGGTAAATTCTTGCCTTTCAACATACTTCTCACCATATTCATGATGGTTAGATTCTTCCTTTCTATAGTCCCATTTTGCTGTGGAGTGTAGGGTGGCACCACCTCATGCACAACCCCTTCTTTTTCATATAATTTGTCGAAGTCCTTCGACACATTCTCTCCACCACCACCAGTTCTCAAAACTTTGAGTTTTCAACCACTTTGTCTTTCGACCATAGACTTAAACTTGGCAAATACCTCGATCACTTCACTTTTCTTCTTGATCAGGTAAGTCTATAGTTTTCGACTGAAAAAATCTATGAACGTTGCAAAGTATTTGTTACCTCCAAACGAATCCACCTGGATTGGACCACATACATCAGAGTATATGACTTAAAGGTTAGCCTTCAACTTTCTTCCTGCATCCTTGATGAAGTTATTCTTGTATTGCTTTGCCTGCACACATTCCTCACACACTTCATTTGGAATGTCGATTTCTGGTAGTCCTGAAACCATATTTCTTCTTTTCAAATCTCTGATGTCTTTGAAGTTGAGATGGCCTAGTCGATAGTGCCATATCAATTTATCTCTCCTAGCTGCACTCAAAAGGAACTTGTGCTCCATCATATTAAGTTCAATCTTGAAGGTTCTATTTTGAGACATGGGAACCTTCAAGATTAACCTTCCATTTACGTAGAAGACTCTCATCATCTTTTCTTCAATCGACACTTTGTAGTTCTATATGATGCCAAGCCTAAGATTGATGTAATGTCCACATAACAACCTAAAACCACGTCAAAGGAAGTTTGTTGCACTGCTATGAAACAACCATGCACCAAGCTGCCACAACACTCCAAAACTGCTGCAAAACAGTCATGTTATGCTGCTCCTAATTTGCATCAAACTAGCATATAAGAGCTGCACCTCAAAAGCTATGAAAAGAACATACCCAAACTTTTCAAATTTTATTTGTTTTCCCCCCAAAACCCCAGCCAGACTCTTCTATAACTAAGCTATTTTCATAACACACAAGGGGGGCTTTTGGACAAGGAAAGAGGAGAAGAAGAAGAAAAAAGAGGAGAGAACATTAAGGCCGAAACCTTGAAACACTCTTAAACCTAGAATCAAAAAACATAACACCTCTGTTTTTTTCTTTCGAACCCAGAACCAAAAAAATATAACACCTCTGTTCTTTTCTTTCAAACCTAAGAACATTCAAGACAGCAACTCAAGTTCGAAGCACACATTCCAGCTTCAAGGTAAGTCTTCTGGACTTTAAACTCTTCGTTTTAAGCATCATTGATGGTTCATCTTCAAAGATAACATGTAATAACCATTGCCTTTGAAGCTAACCTTTCGTTTGTCTCCCTTTCTTGTCAATTATATGTTAAGAACTAACTTGTACAGACCATAAAACAATGTTGGAGTGAGAAATTACATCATGGTTTGACACGAAGCCTTAGGCTTCGGCACACACTGCTTTACATGCCCAAATATAAGAAAAAAAGTGTGTGAATCGAAGGGTGCATGCTTCGAACATACTGCATGAATAGAAAGATTTGTTTTTTCTCTGTGAATCAAAGGGTGCATGCTTCTGCATGAATCGAAAGATTTGTTTTTTTCTCTCTTTTGCGCTGTTTTTGTTTTTTTTTTGTTTATATTTTTTATATATTTTCTCTCATTGCTATTAAATATGGTTGTAATAATTAGGACTTTTATTGCTTTCCACCCCCATTTGTAAATTTGTATACCCCATCCCCAAATGATGTAATAGCTTAGGATTTTAATTTCCAAAATTTTCCGCTTTAATATAAATTGTTAGTAATTAGGGTGTGTATGGAAAGATAAAATCAACCGTTAGAAAATCCTAATTTCAAAGACAAAATGCATGCAATCAAACACACTATTCACACACGTGCACCTCGAGGGTAACCACGCTTGTTGCCTCGGAAAATAGTCATGTCCCTCGAGTATGGGCGTTTTAGCAAAGACCCTCAATAAAAAAGTTTGTAGTCCCTCGATGTCCCTCGATGTTGTCTCCGGTAAACGATCTAGTCCCTTATGAAAATTGCTTAAACATCTCATAAGTTGCCTTCTATGACTATACGATTGACCCACGCCCGTCTCTTCACATCCAATGATGGGGCTTCTTACCAATCAATGGTAAGATAGCAACATCTAAAGGAGGAGGAAAAGAACATAGACCTTTTGAGTAGGTAGGACGCTCATAGTTGCTTGCTCACAAATCAAAAACATTTTCACACTTACACTTTCAAAACATATTCAAAAACAAACATCTCTTTGAACTATTTTTAAAACCAACACTTTGTATAAATTCTTATAGAGACGAGAATCATTACAAAGTTTGCGGCAACAAAGGAATTTTCAAAATATTTTTCAGACTTACACCACAAAACACATTTTCAAACAAAGCATTTTCAAATTATCTAGCAAGCAACTAAGAGCCCGTAGATAACTACGGATGAAAAGGGTGATAATACCTTCCCTTTTCATAACCTACCCCCAAACTCAAGAAAACATCTCTAAAGGTCTTTCCTATTCTTTTCACCCTTTCCTTTATTGGATAAAAGAAAAGTCGGTGGCGACTCTTACTATCCGCAACAATTGCGATAAAACATAAAACACCCAAGTTAGTTCTCCCACCGTATTACTACAACTTTATTACAAAAGATAGGGGTTACTACCATTATTTATAGATTTAAGTTAGCTTACTCTCTAAGCCAAAGCCCAAAACTATAAAAGCCAAAAATACCTACACTACAACATTTTTTGTCTCTGGCAACACTTTTTTAGGTAACATGTAGAAATTGTTGCCTTAAATTCATATAGGCAACGATTTACGATTGTTGTCAAAAATATGTTTGCAACCCTTGATAATCGTCGCCTAAAATACTTTTGGGGACGTTTATGGAGCGATACTCTTTTATTTTTTTTCCAACGGTTGTTAATTGTGCCCTTAACTGCTTTTGGGGACGATTTTAGAGCGTTAAAATATTATTTCTTTAGCAATGTTTGACAATTGTCCCCTAAAATATTTTTGGGGACATTTTTAGATTGTTACATTAGTTCTAATAAAAGGCTACATTTCTGAAATGTTGTATAAATTTTTTTAGAATTATCAAATTTTTGGTGGCAATCTTCCCTCCAAAACGTATACACTAAAAAACAAATATTTTTCTCTAAACATTATTAATATATATATAAAAAAATATTTTTCTAACACAGGAATTTAAAATCCTAATAAAATAAACATATAAAAAGAGCAAAGAGGTTACAGTAGAAACAAATGGGAGGAACCACCCATATCTAATATATCTAATATATATATATATAGACACATTCCACTCTCTTTATAAAAATAAAAAGGAAAAAACATCCTATTAAAAATAAAAACAAAATAAGACCAAACTTTAAGAAACAGAACACGTTAACCCAAACCTCAATATTCTTTCTTTCTCATTTTTTTAGATCTTCTGCTAACCTTCCTCCTCCATATCTCTTCATTTTTCTTAACTTAACAAATCTCCCATAAATTCAAATTAAACAAACAAGCCATCGAAAGGTGAAAGTATTGTACCTGAAACCCAGAATCGTTGGTGGGTTGCGGGTTATTGTTACACTGGATCTAGATGGAGGGGTTTGCGATCGTGTTGGTTCTGTGGCATAAGGTATGGACTGTGGATCTCGGAGTGCGCCGTGGTGGTTTACTTTAGTGACGGTTCTCGGTGCTACAGGGCGTTTGTCGGTGTCGCGTGTTGTTTCTGGTGCATTATGGACTCGCGGCTGCGATCGGAGCGGAAGGCTGGAGTCTCAAGTCTGCGCGATTTGGAGTGTGGTAAGGATGGAAGAGGAAACTTATTCTTCCCACTTCTTTTTGACTTCGCATTGTTTTCTGCTACGGTTATGATATTATTGTCGTCTAGAATTCACTGCTGGGTTAAAGGTGATGAGTTTGTGTGAGTTTTGGTTTTTGTGTGTATAAGCGCTACTAATATTTTCATTGTTACAGTAAGATAGAGTTAGGTCAAATTTTAAGAGTTGCAAAGAGGAAAATTCAAGAGTCGATGATCTCCTTAGAACTTGTAAGTACTTAAAGTACTTGCAAGTTACTTCTCTTGACTGAATATACACGAGAAGTATTGCAGGAGAGATGATTGTAGGTCCCATAAAAGCACTTTTTATGGATGAAATATCAACTGGCTTAGACAGCTCCACTACTTTTCAAATAGTTACATGTCTCCAGCAATTGGTGCACATCAATGATGCAACAACAGTGCTTTCACTCCTCCAACCAGCACCATAAACCTTTGAGTTGTTTGATGATCTTATATTGATGGCAGAGGGGAAGATAGTATACCATGGCCCCTGCAGTCAAGCACTCCAGTTCTTTAAGGATTGCGGTTTCTGGTGCCCTGAAAGAAAAGGAGTGGCAGACTTTCTTCAAGAGGTAGGAATAGAAACTGTGTCCCTTACCATTGCGCCAAAGTTCAAGTGATTTTACTCATAGTTTCACGAATTACAAATTTCATGCGCACGCAGATAACCTCTAAGAAGGATCAAAGGCAATACTGGTACCGCACGGATATTCCTTACAGTTATGTTTCAGTGGATGAGTTCTCTCAAATTTTCAAAACAAGCTACTGGGGAAGAATGTTAGTTGATGAGCTCTCACAACCATATGATAAATCTCAATCCCATGAAAGTTCTTTATCATATAGCAAGTACTCCTTAGGAAAATGGGATTTGTTTGAAGCTTGTATGAAGAGGGAGATTCTTCTCATGAAACGAAACTCGTTTATCTATATATTCAAAACTGTGCAGGTTACTATCAAATTCAAGTTCAATTCAACTCAGCTAAGTCGTACTTGAACATATAAAATCTAACTTGCTTCTTTTTTCGCTTGTTTTGCAGCTTACAATCACTGCAACCATAACAATGACGGTCTTTTTGCGCAGACAACTTGACGTGGACTTGTTAGGATCAAACTATTTATTAGGTTCACTGTACTATACACTTGTACGCCTAATGACAAATGGAGTTGCCGAGTTGATAATGACTATTACTAGACTACCCGTTGTTTATAAGCAGAAAGCATTATATCTCTATCCAGCTTGGGCTTACTGTCTTCCAGCTGCCATACTAAAGATTCCATTTTCAGTCCTTGATTCTCTTGTTTGGACATCAATAACATATTATGTTATAGGCTACAGCCCAGAAATAACAAGGTCTGTAACTCGTGTATATGTAAGTATAGTCAAACTTTTTCTCTTTTCTTTTGCAAGTTTTTTCTTATATATTTATTATTGAATCAGGTTCCTCCGCCAGTTCCTTTTGCTTATCGCTCTGCACATGTCATCAACCTCTATGTGTCGTTCCCTTGCTGCAGTTTTTAAAACTGATGTTGCAGCTACAACTGTTGGTTCTTTGGTCTTAGTACTCATGTTCTTGTTTGGAGGCTTTATTCTTCCTCGACGTAAGCCGCTTTATATCGTCTCAGTTATAACATGTGGTAGTACTAAATTACTAATTACCAAGTTACTCATCATGGAGTTTATTCTCTGCAGCATCATTACCAAAGTGGTTGAGGTGGGGTTTTTGGCTTTCTCCCATGTCATATGGGGAAATAGGAATAACACTCAATGAATTTCTTGCTCCTCGTTGGCAAAAGGTATCTTCTAAGATAATTTATTTGGTTTCATGATAGGTCACAATATACGTTTATATGGATCTAATTCATATACATTGTCAGGATGATGATTTTTTATATTGTCAATGAATCATAATCGGAAGATCATTACAAATGTTTACGTTTATTCTAAATACTACTGAAGTCACGCATATAACTGGTTGTAATTTGTTTACAGTGTAAAACTTTTTACACAGACGGTGTATCAACATGAATCTCCAGTTATATATTTATATTTACTATCGTTATTTTCATCATCATTATTTTTCAGATTCAAGAGGGAAACATCACTGTTGGAAGAGAGGTTCTCAAGAGTCGTGGTTTAGACTTTGATAGCAACTTTTTTTGGATATCAATTGCAGCATTACTTGGTTTCGCAGTAGTATTTGATATCCTATTTGTTGTAGCATTAACTTACTTAAAAGGTGAGTCCTATCCATGATATTACAAGGAAAAGTAATTGTATGTAACATTGTTTATATAATACGTTTGCTTAATATAATCGGCCAACATTGTTTATAATAGTAGCTAATATTTTTTTTTTGTAATTTATGCTAGTCCCAACTTCAAGAAATGGTTGAAAAGGAGGAAAGTGATACAGAAGCTTTTAAAGTTTTTTTTGGAAAGGAGTGTCCAGGCAGGGTACGCTGTTATGGGAGAAACATAACTAAAACTTCCTTAAAGAGAAAGACAGAGATTAATGCTTTGAAACAAGCCCACAGTGAAGAGGTCTCTACATTAAGGGACGAGTTTCAAGATAATATTGATAGATTGCAAAATGCTTTTAAGACCGTAATACAACAATGCAATCCTCAAATTAATATAGAGTCAATTGAAGATTTGTTAGGATTATCTCATGGAGATGCTAATAGTTCCCCAAAGGATATAAGACCGCAAATGCATTCATCTACATCAACTCATGCTCCATGTCATGGAAAGGTAACCATATATACCAATATTATTGATTTATATTTTTCTAATTATGTTATAGTATCAAAATGGTTGTTAATGTATGCAAAAATTTGCAAGTAGTGACAACACCTAGAATAAAGTAAGTGGTTGAAATTGTTTAAGTAGTGACAACACCTAGAAGTGGCTGAAACTGTTTTATTTGTGCGAGCTTTCATTGATATTTCACAAACATACTTGCCTGGGATAAGATTATGGGACCCCCTTGTTTGATAACACTCACTATGTATGCTGTAAATTTATCCATATGATACTGAACACCAAAGAAGATACAACAATTAAGAGTGTTCATCAGAGTTCATTTACTCCAAAAAATAAACATAAAAGGATAGCACAAGTTATACATACATACATACATACAGTTAAAGGCTATTGTAAGTCCTGAATAGTGAGCCAAAAACAGAATGGTTTTCATAATTCATTTATTTGCTAGTAAACTCATGTCACCTATTACAGTTTAGAACGAAAATTCACATCCATTAAAAACCTTCATAATTAATTCACATCCATGAGATGTGAAGAATATAAACAATGTGTTTTGCTCATTGGTTTAGTTTTTATTTGTGCGAGGTTTAATTCTTGTTGATGTCTTAATGGTCCTTTGGACCAAAAATACTTATGGTTAATGTGTTTTATTTTATTTTCTTATGCAGCAATGTATCAATGAAGATGTTGAAAAGGACGATATAAATGATGAAATTCAAGAGGACGACATAAATGATAAAATTCAAGAGGACGACCTAAATGATAAAATTCAAGAGGACGACGTAGATGACGAATTTCAAGAGGACGACATAGATCTAGATGATGAATTTCAAGAGGAGGATATAGATGGTGAATTTCAAGAGGACGACGTAGATGAAGAATTTATGGAGGATGACATATCTAACGAATTTCAAGAGGACGATCTGGATGCTTTACTCCTAGAAGACAAACTTGAATGAGTTGGATGATGTCTTTTTTTTGGCTTGTAGTTGAAAGCATTAAACTTGAAATATGATTTTTGTTCTTTTGCTGACCTATGTTTTTAGTTATTTTACTAGGGTCATACTTCAAAGTATTAAAAGTAATATTGTTACGTTAGGCATTTTGTGTACTCTATGTACTATATCTTGAATTAAAGTTTGAACTCGATTTTATTATATTACAACTTTTATGAATGTATGGTTTAAGTTATATAATCAATATTATTTTTGAAGCCAATTATTATTGACTATATTATTTTGATAATAATTGCAAAATTGTATATTTTATGTGGACACTATAAAACAACAACCTATAAGCTATGGCTACACTTCAAAAACGATCTTCCTGATTCAGGTTTAAGGCAACGATTGTTAATTGTAGCCGAATTTGGCAACGCAACGCTTAAAAAACGTTGTCTCAGAGGCCGTAAATAATCGTCCCCTATTCCTTTACTATAGGTGACGTTTTTCAAAAGCGTTCCCAAAAAACATAAAAAAACGTCGCCTCAAACAATAGGCAACGCTCGCACAGGAGACGCCTAGAAAACGTCCCCTATTGTTTTAGGCAACGATTTTCAGAGTTCTGGCAACGTTTTCCAATTGTTGTTGGAGAGCCTAAATCTTGTAGTGCTATTTTGGAACTAAATCAAATCAATCTACTTTAGACCTAAATCAAATATATCTATTTTAGATCTAAATCAAATATGTCTAATAAAATACTTCCACACTTCGACACTTCCTTGTTTTCTGTCGAGAAAACTGCTTCGACATAAGGAATTATACTTTCAACAATGTGAATAACAAAATCTACAATAATATATAACAATTATTATCTTTTTTTTGTGAGCGTAACCATTTTTCATTTTAAAACTATTCTTGATCTAAATCATTATTGCATAATTAGTCATCTCTTTGATACAATAAATCTCGTTATTGACCACCGAGAATACGACTACAAATTATTGAAAAAGAAATTCTTCCTCCGTCTCAAAATAAAAGTCGTTTAAGGTTGTTACACAAAGATTAAACAAAATAATAATTGAATCAATAACATAACATTTTTATAAAATTATCTTTAATTACTATTTTTTGTTAATCATAGAAAGATAATCATAAGAAAAAAAGTAACAAAGAGTTAAGTAAGATAGTCATAAGAAAAAAATACCAAATGGAGCATAAGATTATCTATCACTTAATGTAATTATTGAAGATATACATATCATGAACATCCAACTTTCTTACTAAAAATTCATTGATGGTAATCAATATTTTTGACCATTTCATCTTGAAATTTAAATCTATTTGTTTTTTCTCTTTCTATTTTCAATTCAATTGCAATTTTAATATTTATTTAAGGTAAAATACTGTTTTTCGTCCCTTAACTTTTACTCAGGGTCCATTTTGGTCCCTTAATTTTTAAAAAGTTCAAATAACTCCCCTATCTATTAAAATGGTATCACGTTAATCTTTTCATTTGGTTCCGTTAGTTGTGTTATGTTTTTAGTAACCACGTGGTTTATTTGAAGGCTGATGTGGATAATTTCTTCCTGTATGTTTAATATGTTCCATTGAAAGGGTTCAGAAATTACAATACATGAAAGGGTGAAAGGGGTGAAGCTCTGGGTTCAAAAACCACACTGATATTGAACGCGAAATCGACGGAATTTTTAATATTGAAAACACGTTCGAGTCATAGGTTTGTCATTTATAACCCAGAATGGTTCTGATCCTGTTTAAAGTCTGCGTTTTTTTTGGTTCGTTAAGCTTATGAAAATAGAGTTCATTTTGATTTAGGATTTTTTTAGTTTGATTAGGGTTTTTCTGTTTCATTAGGGATTGTTACGGATTATTACAAAATAGGATTTTAAAGTATGATTCTTATTTAGGGTTTGTTCTGATGTAGGTGTAATGGACGAGTATTTGTATCTAACAATTCACCATAGTGGTGAATTCGTTGATAGTGACAATAGTCAGTACGACAGACGAGATACTTTTGACTTGAAAATAGATGCAGACATGTGGGGTTATTTTGAGTCTGCTGGTGTTCTTAAGGAGTTAGGTTATGTGGAGTTTGAGAAAATCTGGTACAGAAATCCTACATTTAGAATGACTTAATTGGTTGATGATAAATGAGCCTTAGAAATAGTTGATCTCTACAGGATGCATTTAAATGTTGACATATATGTTCAACACACAGTATGTGAGCTAGAATTTTGTGATTTTCCTATAGAAGTAGTAGTAGGGAATGATGATGTAGTTAGACATGAAGTTAATAGGGAAGCGGGTAATATGACTGTGGAGGAAGGTAATGTGACTGCGGAGGAAGGTGATGTGACTATGGAGAAAGATAATGTAACTATGGAGGAAGGTAATGTGAATGTGGAGAAAGATAATGTAGCTATGGAGGAAGGTAATGTGATTGTGGAGAAAGGTAATATGGTTATGGAGGAAGGTAATTTGGTTGTGGAGGAAGAGGATGTGCATTATGAGTCTAGTACTGATGGTGAAGATGACATTGAGGATAAGAATTATAACATTGTTATGGAAGTGGCATTTAATGATTCCTCTGATGGTTTTGATGACTTAGAGGAAGAAGATTTGGATAATCTAATTGGCTATGAACCACAACATGAGGAGGAACAAAGCAGCAAACAATTGGATAATGGTAGTTTGGAAAAGGAACATGATAACAATAGTGAAGAACTAAAAAGTGGATGTGATAGTGGTGATAGAATTGGGGTTGTTACTAAGAAGAGTTACCCAATATTCAATTTGAAAAAGGACATGGAAAGTTTCAAGTGGGAAGTGGGAGTGTACTTTAGGTCAAGCGATGACTTCAAGGAAGCCATAACATCATATGTTGTCCAAAGTGGGAGAAATTTGAAGTTCATAAAGAATGACAAAGTGTGGGTGAGGGTTAGATGCAAGGATGGTTGTCAATGGCCAGCCATGGATTAACTTTTGCCAGGTTTTGAACAAAGATTTTATGTGAGGCACCTGTACAACAACCTTAGGAAGAGGTACCTTAGGAAAATGTTAAAGGATGTAATATGGAAGGCTACAAAGTCAACATATGTACAAGCTTGGGAAATAGAGATGAGGGCTATCAAGCTTATTAATAAAGAGGCATGTCTACATATGATGAAGACATCTCCAAGATTCTGGAGTAAATCACACTTTAATGTAAACAATATTTAGTCTATCTATCTAGATTGAAACTAGTTGTTGTATTATGTAAATTGAATCTGGATATTGTATTAGGTAACTAAAAAATGTGACACTGTTGTTGCACCCCAAAATTTTCCCTCCTAATTTCTTCTATCTGGATTAGACTATCGCATTCATCTGTATATATTCCATTAGGTCATTAACATACATTTTCATTCAATAAAGCGCTTGAGGTTCGAAGTTCAGTGGCTGCGCGATATTAGGGCTTCGCAGAAGTTAAGGTGTTCATATCCGATAAGGTCTGATTCTTCTGATCATCCTTCAAGCAGTGAAATGTGGAATTAGGGTTGCATCCTATGTTTATTGAGGGTTCCGTTCTTTTCAAGTTAAGAGGGTTATTACTCATTCAAGACAAGAGTCAGAATGTTTCTCCACCAAGTTTGTGCTTGACAACATTTCATCAATCGAGGTTCATTAGGTTTTCTAAGTCATGGCCATCTTGGTCATATTTATTTATGTATCCCCATGTTCATTTCCAAGTTGTTCTACAAGGTCATCTAAGAGCTACTAAATCAGGCATTCATTATCTTTTTGTGCTCAATGTCATCCTTTGATTAGGGTTTATTTCTCTATGCTTGGGTTAGTCGGATGAATTTGGCAGGGCTAATAGTCAAGGGTTCATCATCAATCACTAGTTAGGGTTTTCTTTCGACCTTTCTCTGTAAATCGAAAGGGGGAACTTATTACTTAAGTCATAAGCTATGTGATCGGAAACTTCATAAAGAAGACAAATGTGGATATACGGGTGCCCATTTTACCGTTTGATCTTTGTTTATCATTGATTTAAATAAATTCTTTCATTTAGCTATGATGCTTGAGGATCAAGATGTTACATTGCTTAGGCCATACAAGTTATCTCTTTGGTTCCCACACAAGGCTTTGAGGTGAACGTGGTGTATTGGGTCATAGTTGCATCCAAGGTTTTGACAATATCTTACTTGAGTTCCTTTGATTGACTAAGAGTACCCAATCTCATGATGTGTTATATTAAAGGATGCAATTTGAAGCAAAATTTGAAAGGTTAAAATAAGCTTTTGGAGGGAAAGAAAGATTCAAGTCATATTTCATCCCCAAGATGCCAAGTATCACAAAACTCATCGGAGAAATATTGAAGAATCCAAATGAAATACAACAATTTGAAAGCGAGGTTCAAGATTGAAAATTGGAGAAAATATTAGATGCTTGAAGATTAATTCAAATTAAAACATAATGGAGGGAAATTCAAACTTTACCATTTTTTAAAAGAAGTCATATTCCCCAATATGAATCAAAGCTATACTCCAAATCCAATTTAAATTGTCATTTCAATACTTTTAAGATCAAAGTCTAAAGTTTCTATGGAAGGTTCGGGTTATGGACTAAGTACATGAAGCCATCTAAGCATGTATTCACTCAAGTTGATTTAAAGAAGCTTAGATTCGTTTATTTGAAAATATTTAAGCAAGAGAGTTCATTCAAATTGATAGAATGCGAGACATTGGGATTTCACAAACATAAAGTCAAAGAAGTACTTGGGATACCAAACCCAAAAAAGAAAGGAAAGCATTTCATTCATGAGAAACTCAAAATCAAATGGAAAGAAAATAGTTTGAATACTTGATAATTTGTCATTTGATTCAAGATTTCCCAAAGTTACATTTTATTCAAAGAACATATTGCATTACCTTGGTTTGAAGTGAATTACAAGCTCAAAGTCATTTATATATCACACTATAAATTTCAAGTTCATCCAAATCAAACATTCATTATAA